GGCCCTGGGCCCTGCCTGGGAAGTCAGGTCACTGCCCCTTGGCCAAAATGAGATCCACCCCACTTTCTGCCGCCCACTCTGTTCCTGGCAGTGTGGCTGCTTAGGGGCTGGTGTCTGACAGCAAGGTTGGGGTACCAGAGCTGGGCTGGGGAGGTGCCTACTTCCCCCACCCCCCCACGCTGGGAAGACTGTCCTCAGAGGGTTGTCATGGAGCTGGCAGGTTGAGCTGAGTCCTGCGTGAAGAGAGGGGACTGGGGCAGCAGCAGGAGGGACCTTTCCAAGGGCCTCCTCTGAGGATGTCCGCTGCCTGGTCCCAGGTACATCAGCCTGCTGCCTGTCATCCCAGTCACGCTCCGCCTGAACCCGAGGGAGGCCCTGGAGGGGCGGCACCCTCAGGATGGCCTCAGTGCCTGGCCCCCGCCGAGGCCCGGGCATGGTGGGCTGTGGGAGGCCGGCCCCAAGGGGCCAGGCGCGGCGCAGGCGCACAGAGACATCACCCTGTACAAGTAAGGCCCACAGGGGGAGGGAGAGGAGGGAGGGGGGGCCGGTGGGAGGGCCTGGGCTCGTCTAAGCAGGCTCTGCCCTGTGCAGGGTGGCAGCGCTCGGCCTGGCTGCAGGCATCGTCCTCGTGCTGCTGCTGCTTTGCCTGTACCGCGTGCTCTGCCCGCGCAACTACGGGCAGCCCGGAGCAGGGCCGGGCCGGCGGCGACGTGGGGAGCTGCCCTGTGACGACTATGGCTATACGCCACCTGAGACCGAGATCGTGCCCCTGGTGCTGCGAGGGCACCTCATGGTGAGTGCTGGCGGGGGCCAGGGGTACCAGGGGCCTGGGCCGTGCAGACATCAGTGCCTGTGCCCACGGCTGTGCCACACTCCCACAGGACATCGAGTGTCTGGCCAGCGACGGCATGCTGCTGGTGAGCTGTTGCCTGGCAGGCCACGTGTGCGTGTGGGACGCGCAGACGGGGGACTGCCTCACTCGCATCCCACGCCCGGGGTAGGTACCCCCATCTCTGCCCCCTGCCTGAGCCTTGCCCTGTGTCTGTGCCCCGCTGTCCTCACCCCACTCTCCCTGCCCCCTGCAGGCAGCGCAGGGACAGTGGTGTTGGCAGTGTGTTGGAGGCTCAGGAGAGCTGGGAACGGCTGTCAGACGGCGGGAAGGGTGGCCCAGAGGAGCCTGGGGACAGTCCTCCATTACGGCACCATTCTCGGGGCCTTCCGCCATCTTCCCTCTTTGGGGACCAGCCAGACCTCACTTGCTTGATCGACACCAACTTCTCGGCGCAGCCACAGCTCCCAGAGCCTGCTAACCCAGAGCCCCGGCACCGGGCAGGCTGCCGCCGCGCTCCAGAGTCCCCAGGCTACGACTTCAGCCGCCTGGTGCAGCGAGTGTACCAGGAGGAGAGAATGGCTCCTGTCCACACGCCAGCCCTGCGTCCACCCTCCCCTGGGCCTGTGCTGCCTCAGGCCCCCGAGGACGAGGGGGGCTTTCCTCCTGAGAAGGGCTCCCCTTCCCTCGCCTGGGCCCCCAGCGCAGACGGCTCCATCTGGAGCCTGGAGCTGCAGGGCAGCCTCATCGTGGTGGGGCGGAGCAGTGGCCGGCTCGAGGTGGGCAGGACTGGAGGTGGGCAGAGGCGCTGTCTGCGCAGGGGGTTTGTGGGCCCTCCCAGCCCACAGGTGTTCACAGCCTCTGCGCCTGCAGGTGTGGGACGCCATCGAGGGCACCCTGCGCTGCAGCAGTGAGGAGGTCTCCTCGGGCATCACGGCCCTCGTCTTCCTGGACAAAAGGTGGGTGCGCTACGATGCCAGCCTCAACCCTAGACCCTCAGCCCTTCCTGTCCAGGCCATACTCTTGAGATTTGAACCCTGCATCCCGTCACTCATGTGTGACTTGACTTCCCCACTCGGTGCCAAGCCCCACACCTGTGACAGCAGGTAGTCCACCACGATGGGAGGGTGACAAGTAAAAGACTTAACAGGTAGGAAGCACTTGGACTAGGGCCTGGCATGTAGTGAGATCCCAGGTTCCTTCACCATGGTGACAATGGTATTTTTCTTTGTCACCCTTCTGAAGTCAAAGTTACTCTAGTTGGACTGGGTTTCCTGGCTGCATTTTCAGTTACAGAAAAATGCATTTTCAGAACCATCTTATTAAAACTCTTCTTTCCTCTTGATGCTGGACATTATTCTCACCTCCCTCCTCAACACGCCTCTTGGCTGGGTGTTCCCATGGCTCTGCCTGCACATGCTCCCGGAGGTGGGGGTTCCCCAGACAGACACTCAGTCTTGGGTTTCTGCTTCTGGGCTGATAAACCCAAGTAGGTGCCTCTGCTTAACCCCTCACCTGCCTGTCCTGTGCTGGCTTATCTGGAGCCTTATCTTCTTGGGGAGGGGTTTTGGGGAGCAGGTTTCTGGTAGTGCTGCTGTCACTCCTGCCACTGCGAGGCTTCTTGCAGAGGCAAGACATCCAGCCTGGCTCAGTGCTGGTTCCCCCCATGCTTAGAAATTCTCCCCTGAGTTTTTTGCTTGAGTTTTTGGGAAAGCCCACGTCTCAGCCCAGCCATCACAGTTCCATGGTCTCTCCTCCCCTCCCTGCTGCCCCTTGCACTGTACCTCCCCAGCTCCAACGTGGACCCTTCAGATTCGTGGGTTGGGAGATGCTTTGCCCTTGACCAGAGTTAAGATTTTGAACCCTACTCACTTCAAAGCTTTGGGGCTATATGGCAGAAGTCCCCACCTCTGCCTGTCAACCTGTGCCTAGGAATCCCAGGCAGTGAAGAAAATCCTTATTTGGAGACAGCAGCACCAAAACACAGCCCCACTTCAGGCTCCTTCACAGAAGCCTTTCCTTTAGCTCCAGGCTGTGGAGGGGGACTGTCCCCATGCTTGTTCCTGTCTTTTATTTACAGTCTTACGTGACGTTCCCCAGGTACCACTTTGCACGTTATTAGCTCATTTACTCCATGACTACCTTGTGAGGTGGGTACGGTTGTCCCCATTTCACAGATGAAGAAACTGTGGCACAGAGGTTAACAATTAAGAGTTGTAGTCTCCAGCTCCAGCACCTGTCCCCCCCTTAGCCACGGTCCCTCATGTCTCTACTGTTCCAAGGCCCAGTGGAGCTGAGCCTGTCAAGGACTGATGGTGCTCAGCCCCAAGGCTGGGGGCTTGGAGGAAGTCACCTGGCAGCTATTCTCTTCTAGGATTGTGGCTGCCAGGCTCAACGGTTCCCTTGATTTCTTCTCCTTGGAGACTCACACTGCCCTCAGTCCCCTGCAGTTCCGAGGTGAGAGGACCTGAACTGGGCAGGTGGGGCATGGGCTGCCTACAGGGTGTCTTCTCAGGGATCCTCACTTGGCCTGTTGTCCCTAGGGGCCCCAGGACGGGGCACTTCCCCCGCATCCCCCATATACAGCAGCAGTGACACAGTGGCTTGTCACCTGACGCACACAGTACCCTGTGCACACCAGAAACCCATCACAGCCTTGAAGGCCGCTGCCGGGCGCCTTGTGACTGGGAGCCAAGACCACACACTAAGAGTGAGTGTTAGCATCTCTCTTGTGCACTAGGGTGGCCCAGCACAGGGGGCGGGGAGCATTTGGTGTCAGTCAGGGAGAGGCTGGAGGTGTCCTGGATAAACTGTGGAAGGGATTTCCTGGCCAGAGTGTCATTTGGAAAATCCCAGAAAGACCAAAACGTGATGCCTGTCCCTGTCTCAGGTGTTCCGTCTGGAGGATTCCTGCTGCCTCTTCACCCTGCAAGGCCACTCAGGGGCCATCACGACTGTGTACATTGACCAGGTGAGGGCTGTGGGTAGGGTGCAGGGGTACCAAGCCAGGCCCACGGCCCTTGTTTCTCTTGGGAGCCGGTCCTCAAGGGCCTGTGGGAAACCGAGTGAGAGCTCCTACCCACCCACCAGGGCACTAGGACACCCTTGTAGACAGAGGCGTTCCGCCAGTGAGCAGCTCCCCCGGGCCTGTTCCCTTAGACCATGGTGCTGGCCAGTGGAGGACAAGATGGGGCCATCTGCCTATGGGACGTGCTGACGGGCAGCCGGGTCAGCCACATGTTTGCTCACCGTGGGGACGTCACCTCCCTCACCTGTACCACCTCCTGCGTCATCAGCAGTGGCCTCGATGACCTCATCAGCATCTGGGACCGCAGCACAGGCATCAAGCTCTACTCCATTCAGCAGGTAGGCATGGTGGGGGCCGTGGGATTCTTGGCCTTTCAGGGAAGGACTCAAGACACTGAGCCTGTCCTGTCCTTATCTCCAGGACCTGGGCTGTGGTGCAAGCTTGGGCGTCATCTCAGACAACCTGCTGGTGACCGGTGGCCAGGGCTGTGTCTCCTTTTGGGACCTAAACTATGGGGACCTGTTACAGACGGTCTACCTGGGGAAGAACAGCGAGGCCCAGCCTGCCCGCCAGATCCTGGTGCTGGACAATGCCGCTATTGTCTGCAACTTTGGCAGTGAGCTCAGCCTGGTGTATGTGCCCTCCGTGCTGGAGAAGCTGGACTGAGGGTGGGCAGCAGCTGTGGCCTCCTTACTCATTGGGCTGGGGTGCTCTGTGGTGCAATGCACTGGACCTAGACTGGGGAGGAACAGCTGTCTTTGGGAAGCTGCCTCTGAACTGTCCTGTCCCACCTCATGCCTGTAATATTAAACTTTTTAAAAAATTCCCATCAGCCAGGGGCCCTGTGAGCCACTTAGCAGAGCTCCTCTAGGGAAGACCTGTCGTTTGTATGCTTCCCTCCTCCCTCCCTGTGCCTAAACCTCAGCACTTGGGTAGACCTTTCTCAATTCAGCTGCTTGCAGCAGGAGCCACAGAAGTCACAGGGACAGACACAAGCCAGCGCTCGAGGCCTTCTTAGCTACGTCAGAGGTGGGGAAACCAAGGTGGCCTGAGGTTATCCCAACCCCCTCCCCACCCCAGTTTACCAGAGGCGGTGCTACTGGGGCTCAGGCTCCCCCGTCTCTGCAGCAATGGGCAGACATCGGCGATATAACAGGTTGGTTTATTCCATAGCAAAGAGCTGAAAAATGTCAGGTCCCACAAAGGAGCAGAACCTGGCCCACGATGCATCTCCATCCCAGAGGTGCGGGCTGGGCCAGGTAGGGCTTGAAGGCAGCAGGAATGGGAGTAAGACTGGCCCCACCCCAAGAGGGCAGACAGGTGTGGGAGATGATGTGCAGTGTAAGGACCAAACAGGCAAAGCCTGTTCAGGTCTTGTTGAGTGTCCAGAGCGGATCCAGAAGGCTGAGGGGATCATCAGTGGGCCGGGCAGCCCGCAGACCCTGCCCATTATGGGCCTGCAGGAAGTTCTGCTTGCTCATCCGCTGCTTTCCCCTCAGGGAGCTGTCCAGGGAGAAGGCCTCGGGAGTTAGGGAGGCTAGCAGCTCCAGGGAAGAGGAAGGGGGCCCCAGGCTGGGGACCTCAGGTACTGGCTGCTCGTCCTCAGGCTGCGGGGCCTCGGGCAGGGGTGAAGAGAGAGGGGGTGGGGAGGAGGACGGGAGCTGGGTGGACTCTGGGAGGCTGGCTGGGGGCAAGCCTGGGGGCTCTACAGGGCCTGGCAGGCTGGCAGCCGGGGAATCTAAGCCCCCAGGAGGCCGGATGCTGAGCTTGGCGATAGTGGCCTGGATGGAGCTGATGGGCACGTCCCCACCCAGGACCAGGTCCTGGGAGTCCTGAGGAGCGTGATTCTGAGAAGACAAGAATGGGTGAGGACAGGGGTCCATGAGGCAGGGGCTGTCCCAACAGCACCCACAGGTTCGTTCTCTTACCTTCTGGCTGATGCTTGTGCAGGCAGAGGGTCTGCACGGAGGGGGCACGCCATGGCGCTGCAGGACCTGCTCCACATGTCTCACCACCGCCTCATGGCAGAACCTGAGGTGCAGCTGCAGAGGCATGTACTAGCCTGGTCAGCCGGGTGGAGCCCTTCCCCCAAGGCAGAGGGCCCATCCCAGCTCCCACCCAGCGGGCCTCACTTTCTCCTGCAGCATGTGTTTCCTCTGCTGCCGCATGCGCCGCACCAGCTGAGGCAGCTCAGGGATCCCATTTCCAGCCTCCACCTCCTGCACAGCCGCATAGAGCAGCGCGAAGGCTCCTGTGCGGCCCACCCCAGAGCTGTGGCAGGAAAGGGGTGTAAGGCCAGGCCAAGAGCCTCCAGAAGACCCCTCAGGTGCTGTCCACGCTTACCTGCAGTGCACGACAATGGGCGTGTGCAGGGGTCGCTGGTGCAGGTAATGAGCATGCACCTCCTGAATGAAGCGTAGCAGGTTGCCAGGGCTGTCGGGCAGGCCTCTGCAGGGGTGGGCGGGGTCTCTGAGCCAGACCTGATCTGAGGCCCACACCACCCCTCCCAACCCTTCGATCATCACCCAGGGCTGCAGACGCACAACTCAGGCCAAGTGGGGAAATGGAGGTGCACGAGCGAGCGCTTGAGGCTCTGGTCTCGGAACTGCAGGCTTAGTACCCGCTCCACGTGGGTCTCGGTGGTGCGGACACTGCTCAGAGCCAGGCTCAGGGCACCGTGCACCATGGGCTGGCCCCTCTCGGTGGGGAAGTAGCGTGCCACCTTTTGCTGTGGGACAAACAGGGCAGTTAAGGCTGGTTTGCCAGGGTCCCTGCTGGGCACCCACCCAATCTCTCTCTCTTACCTTCTCCATCTCGGCCTCGGACACCAGCATGACAATGACTGACACTTTTTGCTCGTGCACCATGAGCCAGAAGTCAGCAGCTGTGCCAGGCAGGGGGGGCCTGGGTGGCCACCAAGGGTGGGCAGTACGGCGAGAGTCCCTCCACGCGGCTGGCGTTGATGTAGTCATCCTTGCCAGAGCGCAGCACCACACGATTGCTGTCATAGGGCATGACATCCTGATGCCGGTTCTTCAGTGAGTAGCAGCGGGCAATGGCGATGGAGCGGCCCCGGGCATCGTGCTCTTGTGCCTCTTGCAGCTCCCGCCAGACAGCGTCCAGAGCCCCCACGTCGCCTAGCTGTCCCCGAAAGGTCTCCAGCTCTTGTTGTAACTGCTGTAGCCTCTCGGGGTGCTCATAGGGGTCCCGCTCGATCAGCCGCAGGGCCTGTGGCCGCCGGCCCTCAGCTGCATCCACCTTTGTAGGCTGCAACAGGGGCTGCCCACCCCCAGGAGGCTGAGTGCCTCCATGCTGACTCTCGGGGCTGGAGGAGAGCAGATCTGCAGCGGCAGCTGCAGCGCCTCGGCGCAGACCTGGGGGTGGCTCTGCTACAGGGGGCCGAGGAGTTACTGGGCCAGGCCCTGGTGATGGGGCAGGTGAAGGCACCAGGTGGGGAGTGGGGGTGGGCTGGCTGGCAGGCGGAGGGCCTCGAATGGAGAGGGGGGCTGCCTGGGGGCCCAGGGGCCTGGGGGAAGGAGCAGGACCATATGCCAGGGTGGGATGAGGAGGCTGAGGGGGCCCAGGGCTAGGGAAAGGCAGAGCCCCTGAGTTGGGGGGCAGAGGGTCCTGAGAGGGACCTGGGTAGAGCTGGGTATGCACTGTAGGTGGTGGCTGCCTCAGGACACCAGGCTGAGGAGCAAAAGGGTAAGGGGGTTGGGCGGGTACCAGTCCTGGAGCCTGCGGTGGGAAGAGGTGTGGATGTTGGAGTGGAAGGGGCTGCTGGGGAGGCTGGGGCCCAAACGCCGCTGGTGTGGGATGAGGCTGGGGCCCAATCCTCGGGGCTGAAAAACCTGTGGGGATCCCAGGAGAAAAGTGGTGCTGGGCTGGTGATGCGGTTAGGGGTTGCTTGGTCCCTATAGGGTAGGTATAGGGCATGGGCAGTGGCTGTGGTGGGGCCCCGGGAAGCAAGGCGGGGGAGGAGCAGGGGTGGTGTTTGGCCGTGGTGCTGTGTGGCTGGAGATGGGGGCCTGGACGCTATCTACTGTGGTGGTGGCTGGCCGAACCCCCATGGCCAACTCGGGGCCAGAGAACTGGGGAGGTGGGGCTGAGGGCAGACCTGCAACTGGTTGAGGGGGCCCTACCCCACCATAGGGACTGCTCACCACAGCATGCTGCGGTGAGGATCGGGGCACAAGGCCCAGCTCTGGTGTGTACGTCGGGGGTGTGTAGAGGGCAGGTCCAGGTGCCATGGCCACCGCAGGGTGCCCTGGGGCTTGGAGGGCCCTAGGCTGCAACACCTGGGTGGGGCCTGAGTAGGTACCAGGGGGTAAGGGGCCTGACAGATAATGGGGTCCTGGGCCAGCAGAACTGGGGAAGGGACTGGGAAGGAAGTGGAGCGGGGCAGCGGTTCCCAGGAAGGTGTCGGGGGGCAGACTGCGTAGCTCCTCAGGCAGGTCCCCTGTCTCCACTGCCTCACCCTCCTCCCTGCGGGGCAGCAGTGGCTTTGGGGCTGTGGGCCGTGGTGGTGGCTTCTTCTTCAGCTCCCTGTGGGACGAAGTGATGAAGAAATGGAGCCAGACCCCCACCTCAGCCACCCTGGGTCTGGGCTGCAGCCTCACCTTGGTCCTGGGGCCACACCTACCTGTCCAGGAGCTGCTGGCGGGCAGCCTCGCGGGCCTGGCAGATGGACTGAGCCCGTTCCAAGAGAGCGGCCACCTTGCTCTCCAGGTCTGCATAGAAGTCCTTGCCCTCCTGGGACTTCTTCATCAGGTCCTCATAGGCTTCATAGGAGGCCACCAGGGTCTGAAGCGTAGAGTTCCACCTGGTGGACAGAAGGGCCAGCAAGGGGTGAGCAGCTGGAGCCCAGCTTGGGGTGAGACTAGGCAAGAACACAGGGCCAGACACTGACTTTTGGTCCAGTTCGCTGAGCACCCGCCGCACGGCCGCATACTGCACGTTGGCCTCTGTCAGTGCCCGGAGGACATTGTCCTGGGCAGCCAGGTTCTGCTCCAAGTACACCCTCAGCTGGTCGTACTTCTTCAGCTGCTCCTCGAACAGTTTCTGAGGGAACGTGTTGCAGGGTGGAGGACACTCAGGGCCTCACCACCTAAGGGTGGAACCTAGAGTCAGCCCCTCCATGCTGCTCACCCAGCCCACCTTCATCTCTGAGTGCTCCGTAGTAACCAGTGAGGCAGTGATGTCATCCTTCTGGATAAGCTCACGCAGCTGCTGCTCCAGGGACACGCGCTGGTCCCGCATCTCCTGCACCTTGGCCAAGATGCGCTTCAGGTTCTGCAGCACCGCTTTGTCCTCTGGGAGCAGCAGTGGTCAGTGAGGCCAGAGAAACCCCTAGCTCCATGCCTTTCCCCATGGGGACGGAGCTGGGGTCCTCACCTGGGGTGAGGGCTGGTGTGGGCAGGGCAGCCCGGACCTGGTCCAGCGGCCCACTGAGCAGGCGCAGGTTGCCGACGTGCAGATTCATGGCACGGTGCAGCTCACTGTTGGTGAAGGAGGCCTTCTCGTGGACCTCCATGTACTTGGCCCACTCTCGCCTCACCTCGGCCAATTCGGCCTTGGAGACTGCTGTGCTGGCTCCCGCCTGGCCCACTGCCTCCTGCAACTTCTGTTCTAGCAGCTCATCCTCCTCCAGCAGGTCCCTTATGTCCTTCAGGGAGGCCTCCACATCCGTGAACACACCTGACAGCACTGGGGGCGTGTTTAGGGGAAGAGGGTCAGCTCCTGAGGCAGGCAGACCAGGGACCCAGTCTGGCCCATTGCCCAGGAGACAGAACTGCCCCTCAGTCAGGCTTCTGTGCAGCCCAGCACCAAGGAAAAGGCTGGCGGCCCCTCAGAGCCTGAGAACAAGGAGCAAGCCTGGCGGGGCCAAGGGGTGTCCTGACACTGGCAGACACAGGAAGCACAGGGTACGGTGGTCATGGAAGTGGTGGGTGCTGTGCCAGATGCTGGGAGAGGTGCAAACCTGCATCCTTGTTCAACAAGAGACAGAGAAGGCTGCAGCAGACGACTTCCATGTTCCCGCCCTCCACCTGCTTGCTCTCCCCCTTACTCACCCTGCATGGACTGGACGAGGTTCCTGACAGTGTCAGGCCGGACGCTGAGAGCCGCACACTTCTCCATGAGCTGGGGTGGGATGTGACTGTAGATGTCAAGGTTGTCCACTGTCTCAGGATCCAGCTGCAGTGAATCCATGAACTGGCTGTGGGAGGGAACAGCTCCAGGTGGGTGCTGGGTGCTGATAACCCCTCACATGTGAAAGCAACCCACTAGGGTGAGCCTCCCACCACTGAAGCGAGATCCGAGGTCCTAGCAGACGGCATATCAGCACCCCAACCCCCACCACAGAACATGCCCAGGGCAATACTGGTAATGGGATGTCCTCTTCCCAAGATGCACGAGTGACCCGCCTTATAAATCTAGCATACCAGACCCTGAGCAGGGAGGGCAGAGTCGGGAAACCTGGTGGTACGAGCCCACATTTCACTACTCTTCTTGTTACAGGCAGCTTGGGGAAACAGAGGCCTGGTGGGTACTCCCCCATGCCAGCCCTGCACTCACTCCAGGACCTCATTCTTCTCCTCAATCTTGGCCATCATCTCCCGAAGCAGCTTGGCCTTCTCCTCACTGCAGGAAAAGTGACAGAGCAGTTACTGGAAGCCTATGTCTCTTGAGACATACCAACCCAACCTGTGCTACGAATAGGGCCTGCCCCTCCCACCCACCTGTACAGCGATGAGGCTTCATGGGCAGCCATGGGTACCAGTTTGGCAAAGATGTCAGGGCCTGTAACAGCGGGATCTGTGGGGTTCACTGGTAAGGGCTTCACCAAGGGGGCACCTGGGAGGCGGAGGAAGAATTGTGGAGACCAGGCCCACCCACACAAACGAGCTTGCCTCTGTTCTGTCCCATCTTCATCCCCTACCCCAATCCTGGGCCTTCCCTCAGTTTCAGACCTTTTACAGGCTGAAGGGTGTCCAGTGCTGGGACAGCCTCGTGGTAGATGAAATCATTGTCCTTCTTGGCAGAATTGTACCTGAGGGTCAGGAGAAGGGGGAGTGGTGATTCTTCAGCCATCACTAGGGATCCAGGACCTAACCTCCCACGTGGGCCACTGCTCTCTGGCCCTGTTGGCTTCCTCCCAACGATTCAGGCAGAACACGAAGCCCTTTCCTAACAAGAAGGAACCAAAAGCCACCCCAAGTCCCAGAGACTCACTTTCCCCCGATGACATCCATGGCAAAGCGAAGTGCATCTTGCACAGTGTCAGGCTGGCCCTGTGGGGAGGGATGGGGGTGCTCAACACCAACTACGGCCAGTGCCAGGACACCCCTCGGCCCTGCCAGGCTTGCTCCTTGTCCTCCCAGGCTCTGAGGGGCAGCCAGGCTCTTCCTCAGCTTTACCTTGGCCAGCTTGATGGCTTCATTGAGCTTGTCCAGGGCACTCTGGAAGTAGGCGACCTGTGATGGGGCAGCAGGAAAGCCCAGTCCATCCTTCCCTGCTTGGACCCACACCTGCCACCCCACCAAGCCTGCCTGGCCACCAGGTGACCCATTAGAAGACAAGAAGCTGAGGAGGTAGGCAGGTGCCAGCCCAGCCAACAGCACCAAGGTTAGGGTCTATCTTACAGCTTCACCCTGCTCTGCCTCCCAGGTGACACCTCCAACCAGCCATCCCCTCTGATGGATGAGAGCTGCACAGATGGGACAACACAAGAAACACCAGGCCTACAGCAGGGGGTGGTCAGGGACATGAGAGGTAAAGGCAGACAAGAGTGCCCCCCCCCATTCTGTAAGGGAAGGGACCTCACGAGGACTTCACTAACAAAGCTGGATCCAGTCCTGAGTCCCCTCCTCGCCTAGGGCTCACTCACCCGCTCCCCAAACTTCTGCTGCTCCTCAGCCTGCTTGCCCATATGTAACTAAGAAAGAAGAGACATTATTTCCTGAGCTGTGGCAACTCAACGCAGCCCAGCCCAGCCCAGCCCCAGCGGCCATGGTGCCCTCACATGAGCCACAGCCGCAAAGTAGTAGATCTTCATCTGTACAAGCTTCTTCCAGTCCTTCTGGATCCGGCCCAGCAGCGAGGCAGTGTCAGGGTTCTCTAAGGCCCGGCATGCCTCCTTGTAGTAATCCACCACCTGGGAGCCGGGAACAGGCCGTAAGTTGGGGACTGAGAGTGAACCAGAGGCCTGCCATCAGTCCCTTGAGAGCCACCGTCTACCCCCATTCCTACCTGTGCACTGATGCGGGCCACCAGAAAGCTCTTCCTGTTGTCCAACATGGACTTCTCCAGAAGGCACTCTTGAGCCTGGCCCTGGAACAGCAGGTGCAGATGCACTCCTCTCACCTGGAGGCCCCGCCCTGCTCCAGGGCAGACCACACAGATCCTCTCTTCATCCCGCCTCCCCTGCTCCAGGGGGGGCTCAAAGTCTACGCCCCTGCTTGTCCCTCACAGCCCTGTGCAGAGCCTGGCCTAGGATCCAGCCCTAACTATCTCCTTCCCTGGATTCAACTCAGCCCACCAAGGGCACCAGCTCACCAGCATGAGGTTGACATTGAGAGTGAGGATCTGACGGCTCATGTCAACGCTGTAGGCGTGAGGGAAGTGCTCACGTAGGTAGGCGAAGGCGCCTGCCGCACACTGGAAATGAGTGCAGGAGACCTTCATGCCCTGGGAGAGAAGAGGGGAGGCTGGCTAAAGGAAGAGCCAGTGCCCACTCCCACAGGGCAGGATTCACCCTCTGGAGGCACTCAGCACCCTTCCCTGGTTCTGTCCTGTGTCCCACCCACTGCCACTGTCCTCCTCACCTCCTCAGATACCCGCTTGTCCATGGCTCCCAGCATGGAGTGCAGCGCCCCTGGAGAGGCAGAGGACATGGGGTCAGCGCTAGCCTCGGGCTGCTCCCCAGGCTGCCCACACCTGTGTCCAGTGTAAGGCAGAGGGGGCAGTGTTGTCACCCATGATCAGGAAAACGGGTCCGAGGACTGGGAGACAGTTGGTCCAAGGACACCAAAGCTGGAGTAAACGGAGAAACTCAGAAGTCCAGTCAAGCCCCTCAAGTTTCTTGCTCTGCACCAGGCACAGGTGGGGTGAAAGGTGTCCATAGCCCCAGCCTACAGGTCCAGTCTCAGAGCCTCAGGGATGCCTGCCTACACAGGACTTGGGGCTCCTCAGGCTGAGGCTGAGCCCTCAGGGTTGATGGCAGGGCTGGTCTAGGCCAGCCTTGCTCTCCTCCTGCCTGAAGCAGCCCAAAGCCACAAAGGAGGTCGGGGGGCTGTCCAGTCAGAGAGGCCACCTATGAGGCAGCAACACTATGTGGCAGCTGGCCTAGCAGAGCCTTTCCCTAGCAGGGTGGCTCCCTGTGGCCCTGAAAAGAGGCATCAGCAGAGCCGTGGGGAGGGCAGTGGGAGGGTCAGAATCCAAGTGTCTTCCCTCCATCAGGCCACTGCCTTCATGGCCTCCTGCTGAGCTGAAATGGGGTTGAGAGGGCTGGAGGCAGGACCATGGGGAAGGGGTTAGGTAGCTCACCAAGGTTATAGAGAATACAGGCTTGCTCGTACTTGATGTCCTCATGGGCCACAGACTTGCCTGAGAAGATCTCAGTCCTGTAGACAAGCCACTCCAGTTATCTTGAGGGAAGGAACTAGTGAAAGGACCTGCCTCCCCACTGTGAGGTCAGAGGTAGGGAGGCCTGGGGAGGCCACACCAAGCTGCTCCCCATCCTAGGCAGCAAGGAAAAGGGGAGGGGCATCCCCACCACCCAGGCACCCCTGGGCTGTCACAGGCATCCTCCAGGCTCCCCATAGCCCTGCCTGCCAGCTCTTACCAAGTGACAGGAACGGCAGCCTCCTGGCCCGAGCCCATGGGGACCCGACTCTGCAGGTAGTGGAGCTGGCCCAGGTACTTGCGGAGGACGCTGCAGCCCTCAAAGTCCCTAGGGACACGAACAGCATTCTGGGAGACAGATAGGAAAAGCAGGCCTGTCATCAGCTGGGGTAGAGGACAGGCAGGCCTTTCCACCCACGTGCCCAGGAAATATGCATCAGAGCTGAGAGGCTGCACTCTCCAAGGGATCCAAAGAAAGCCCACAGCTACCTGCAGTCATTCAACAATCATCCTACCAGCCAGGACTACTGGCTTGAATCAGTTCTACTTTTCTGGAAGATAGTTTAAAACATGCTTTAAAGTTGGATGTACTCAATGTTTCACCCATAGTTCTGTTATCCAAAAATACATAGTAAGAGAGACCCAGCAAAGCAAATGCTTGGATGAACATGCGAGGATGTTTCTCAACAGCATTAACAGGGCGAAATACTGGATGCCACCAAAGCTTCCATTAGAGAGGATTGTTTAAATAAATTATGTCAAGGCTATCCACAAAAAAGAATACTTTGCAGCCACAAAAACTGAAGACAGGGATCTCTACTGATATGCTGAGATGTCCAAAACAGATTTATTGTTGAGGGGGGGAGCATGTAACAGATGAGCAGCATAATTTCATTTTTATAAGGTCATATAGATATTGCTATCCAGCTAGGTATATGGACAAAGAGGAAAAAATCTAGACAGTTATATACCAAAAAGATAGTAGGGTTTTAAATTTATCTTATTCTATACATACATACAGAGACATACTTGATTCTTTATTATAGTGTTATGTATTCTTTATATGAAACATTTCCAATTTTTACAATAACCAGTAAAGCTAGTCCCACTTTGGAAAAAAATAAATCAAAGCAAATGAACTCTCTGCTCAAACAGAACAGACAATATACCTTCCAAGAAGCAGGTGCACAAAAAGTAGATGGGCTAGAAGCACTGTACAGACCCTCACCCCACCTGCTGGAGCACACCAGAGCCCCACACCAGGACTCCAGCAGCCGAGGGGCTCAGCAGAGAGCTGGCTGGCACGGGTTAGAAGAAATCCTCTAGGACAAGACACTCCAGAGCTGGGCTCTGAGCCTTCTGCCCCAGATGCTCTGAGAAGGGACACACATGCCCCTGGGGACCCAGAGCAGGAAGAGTCTAGCACTAGTTCCACTCAACACCACTTCCCGGCAGCATCTTGGGAAACCATCTCCTCTGCGGGCCTCAGTCCCCTGTTCCTGTGAACAGAAATTCTAAGCTCCCTTGTGGTGAGGCCTCTGGAATGCCCAGTGCAACGATACGGCATGTCACAGCCACACTGCTGTAGTACCACCTCAAGGGGCCTGTCCCATATGCTGAGGCTTCTCAAATCTAGTCATTCTTATCACTGCCCTCCCCATCATACCTCCACCAAAATGAAACAACGCAACACTTTCCATTTTTTAAAGTGGAGCCACATCCTAAGCAGTTACATGTCTGAAATAGCAGCTTGATGTCCTAGCTACACATTTTAAAAATACTTACTAAAGCATATACAAAAAGATTAAAATTAAAAATTTTTGTTTTAACGAATATATGTATATTCATGTATGACTGAAGCATTGTGCTGTACACTAGAAACTGACACAACACTGTAAACAGACTGTACTTCAATTAAAAAAAAATTTGTTTTGTACTTCCTAAAACCAATCTTTGGGAAACAAGAGAAGCAACCCCCTCAACCCCCCCAGGTCATGGAGATCCACCTGCACCCTTTTCTCCAACCAAGAATGCAGCCCCCTCTTGTTCCGCCCTGGCCTGTGACACTCTGTGATGAGCTGCACATGGCAGGAGCAGAGCAGAACAGGAGAGGCTGAAAGAAAGCTCTGATGCCACACCAAACCCTCTCCCTGACGCCTCCAACAACCTCTTATCCAACCTGTCAGTTTTATTCCCTATAATCACACAGCCAAAAATTTACTCCAGAGTACAAATGAAAAGTCTTCTCAGAGAACTATTCCAGGCCCAGTTTTACAGATGAGGAAACTGAGACCCAGAATCAGAAAAAAAGAATTGCCTATAGCTTCCCCAATTATATCCACCTTCAATTTCCACTGCAAAGAACTGAGTTATGGTAAAAAGTTAACTTCGCTTATGCTGTCTCTGCTTTCTATGTCTCTGTGCTTTGATTAATTTTCTGCAATTCACTGAAAACTAGACCACTGTTAGTTCTAAAATTGCTATAATAGTTCATTTAGTTATTCTATTTTATTTTCACTATTATACTGCTGAGTCTGGAAGCTTTCCTGGTCTGGTAATTTTTTTTTCTTGAAATAATTATTATCAGTGTTCTATGTAAAAAGTCTGTCCTGTGGTTTCACTGAAGAAACACTGATCTAGCCCAATTCTCACACTGTTTCAATGGGTTGAGTTATTCAATGACTTGAATAACTCAAGCCCCAAGGAGAGGAAAAGTGGCCATCCTACTGTCCTCCTATGAGCTCCATCTGTGCTGGGAACAGTCTCAGGTCTGGAGCTCTCTTGGGGGTGGCTCTCTCAAGACCGCTGCTCTGTGCAGGCTGCCTGCCCTAGGCCATAAACCATCTGCCTCAGAAGGGATGGGAGACAATGCTCTGGAGGGTGTTTCGTGTGCATGTGCACCTGTGTGTGCAAAACAGCGGTAGTCTTACGGGTTAGGAACATCTCACTAGTCCTCAAACTGTTCAAATAAAATCTTTCTTTAAAAATTTTATGAGTATGAGGAGTATTCTGAGAAGGTGGTAGAGTAGGAAGCACCAGGAAATCCATCTACTCACCTAGATAACAACTGCACTGGCAGAACTATCTTGGAACTCTTAGAGTCTACTGAGGACTTGCAAACTTGCAGAGGAAGGTAGAGAGAATAAATTAGGTGGATTTCAGCCCTTAGCACAGAGGCAGCTACCCAGCACCCAGCCCTGTGCAGGCAGCCTTGCATATGTTCCTGCTGCAGCTTGCACACAGCCTTTGGAAGCCAGGGTGGGCAGTAAGGATTCTGTCCTCCAAATATCAGGGATCTCTGCTCTGAGTCAAAGGCAGATTTGAGCACGTATATTAAAGAATTAGTGAAACTGAAGATAGGGCAACTGAAATTATCAAGTCTAAGGAAGAGAAAGAAAAAATACTGAAGTGAACAGAGCCTAAGGGACCTATGAGACACCGTCAAGCAGGTCAACATACACATTATGCAAGTCCCAGAAGAAGAGAAAGAAAAAGGGGCAGAGAGAGTATCTGAAGAAATAATGGCCAAAAACTTTCCAAATTTGATTAAAGAATATAAACATCCAAGAAGCTTAAAGAACTCCAAGCAGAATGAACTCAGAAACCCACACCAACACACATTATATTCAAACTGATGAAAGACAGAATCTGGAAAGCAACATAAGAGCAGTACTCATCAAATACAAGGGATCCTCAATGAGATTATCCACAGATTTCTCATCAGAAACTATGGAGACCAGAAGGCAGTAGGCTGATATATTAAAAGTGTTAAAAGAAAAACACTGTCAACCAAAAATCCCGTATCTGACAAAACTAAGGAGAAATCAAGACATTCTCAGATAAACAAAAGCTGGGGGAGTTCATCACCACTAGATCTGCTCTGCAGGAAATGCTAAAAGGAATCCTGTAGACTGAAATGAAAGGACACTTGACAGTAACTTAAAGGCCATATGAAGAAATAAAGATCTTAGTAAAAGTACATCATACCTGGACAATTATAAAAGCTTATATATTATAACAATGGTGTATGACTCCGTTTTATAAAGAATATCTTTTTAGTATATATAAACATGCCAATTAATTATCCCTGCTTTAGGGGAAAGATACAATCTCCTACAATTTGACACTGTAAATAAAAATTTTACTTAAACCCTCTTTTGTTATTCAAGTAGATAAAGTTATTTTTAACTACTTTAAAACAGGGTGGCAAGTGAGAATAATTCACCTTTTTTTGACAATTTTCTCCTCCTAAGAAGAGTGTCATCTTCTTTAAAAGTCAGGTAAGTTCCTCTACTTCAACATGATAAAGGCTAACTATGAAAACCCTTAGCTAACATCATACTAAATAGGTAAAAGACTGAAAACTTTTCCTCTAACACCAGGAACAAGACAAGGATGCCCATTTCCACCACTACAAGTATCACAGGACTGGAAGTCCCAACTCCCAACCAGAGCACTCAGGAAAGAAGGAGAAATGTATCCAAATTAGAAAGGAAGAAGCAAAATTATCTTTGTTCACAGACATGAACTCATATGTAAAAAAAAACCCTAGAGACTACACAAAAGAAGTTAGAATTAATAAACAAATTCAGCAAAGCTGTAGGATATAGAATCAGTACACAAAAATCAGTTGTTTGTACACAATCATAATTAAAGAAAATTAAAATTTTTCTCACTTACAATAGCATCAAAAAGATTATTTAGAAATAAATTTAACCAAAAAGGTGAAAGACTTGTATAGAGAAAACTACAAAACTACGCTGAAAGAAATTAGACATAAACAAAAGGAAAGACATCCTATATTCATGTATTAAGACTTAATATTGTTAAGGAGGCAAGCCTCCCAAAAGAAGAGATACTTTCTTGGATTTTACTTTTCAGGGGTTTAATGCAAATCCGTATCAAAATCCCAATGGCAACTTTTTGCAGAAATAGAAAAATCTATCCTAAAAATTCATATGGAATCTCAAGGGGCTAGCACCCAAATAGCCAGAACAATCTTGAAAAAGAACAAAATTGGACATCCCACAATTCCTGATTTGAAAACCTATTACAAAGCCACAATAATCAAAATAGTGTGGTACTGGCATAAAGGCAGACATATAAACCAAAGGAGAATAGAGAGCCCAGAAATAAACCCTCAAATATGTGGTGCTATGGGCTGAATGGTGCTCCCTCATCAGTTCATATGTTGAAGTCCTAACCCCCGTATATCTCAGAATGTGACTGTACTAGGAGACAGAGCCTTAAAGAGGTAACTACAGTGAAATGAGGTCATACAGGTGAGCCCTAATGCCAGTGACTGTTCTCCTTCTAAAGACATGCACAGAGGGACAATCATGTGAAAA